GGGCCGCCAACCGCGACGAGGGCCTCGAGTGGGAGTTTTGAGCCGCGCCGCCGGGCTCGCGCCGGCCCACCACAGTGTACACACATATATATATATATATATATATATACACACACGTCTCTCACACACACACACATATATATATATTTTGTTAAATTCACCGCGTATGGAGAGGCGGAAGGTGACCCGACCTGTGTGGTGGAGGAGAAGGAGAAGGGAAGCCGCAGCCTGCGCCTGGTGGAAGGGGGCCGAGAGACCCCGCTACGAACGGCCCCCGAGCTTTGTTTTAAATGTGAAAAACTGGGAACAATTTTAGAAAAAAAAAAAATATTTATAGACCTCTTTTAGATATTTTAATAAAAGGATACTTTGGAATTTATTAACAGCCTAAGCTGCTTTGATATTAAAGATAGCTATAAAATCAAGATGATGTAGCAGTTGTGTCATTAAATGTACACTGAAGTCTTGTAGTTTGCCACTGGATGAGATTAAAAAAGAAACTTAAAAAAAAAAAAAACCACAGCAAAGACTGATTGAACAAAGCCATCAAGAAGCACTATGAGACTGACCAAATTTAATAAACTTTTGAATAGCGGTTTTTCCACATTTGTCTGTAAGACGCTGCATTACTTCTACCCCATCCAGAGACTGTGTTATAGTCCACGAAGACTCTAAATTGACAACCTGGATGCCATCAAGTATGTATTTAGTTCTGGTGGTATGTTTTTGAAACCTTTGTAACACAGAATGTCACGTGCAGTTGTATATGTTGTAGAAATGTCTGCAATAGCCTTCTTGAACAAGATGTAGCATGGTACATAACGCGGTTCCTTGCACTTCCTCTAATTAGCACCCCGCGATAGACCCAGAGCAATGGCAGCAAACCACAGCTCTTGACGGTGAAGCTTTCTGTCCGGTTAAAAAAGAAAGAAAAAAAAAACAAAAACCCACCCACGCCACCCACCCAAATGCGTCCCCGCTTCTGCTAGACAGGGGAGAGGTCCCTGGTGTAAAGGTGTCCCGGGCAGCTGCGGTTTGCCGGCGCCAGGCTTCCCGGCGGTCCTGACGGCGGGCGCCCGCGCCCTCGGCCGGAGCCCTTCACTCCGTAGTCGTTGTCCGGCTTGAAAGAAAAAGCAGAAGACGAGAAGCAGCCTCTGAGCTTTGCACCCTCGAGCACCAGTGCTTGGGGCCAAGCACTCAAAAAATACAAAATGCCAGCTCCTCTCCGGACTCGAGCGAGCGCGCCGGGGGCCGGAGGTGCTTCCCGCGCTGGTTTCGCCTTGCGTTTGAGCCAGCTTTTGAGGCTGAAGCACTTTTTTGTTTTAAGTTTCTCAGCTTAGGGCAGCGGGAAGAGCGCCAAGGCAGGAGGAGCAGCCCCTCGGCTTGGATCTGCCTCCGGGCAGCGGCTTTTGCAGCTTGCGCGTGCTCTCC